GTATAATTCTAATTCTACTTCTGAGTATACTTGTAATATTCAAAAGGATTGGATCACTGATTAAAACTTGTTGATTGTAGATGCCCAGAAAAGGCAAGCTTATCCTCTATGGTGATTTGTAATTCAAAGACATTTAATATTGTTGGTTAAATCGTAAGCTACTTGAAAAGTTAAGCATTTCAGATTTTTAATTTGAGTGTTTCTGTCTTTTAAAAGTAGAAGACTGAAGGAAAAGATGTAGAGAAAAGGAGTCCTCATTTCACCCTGAATTTGTAAAGGGTAAGATGATATCAAAGGAAAGGTTGTTTAGGACAAAAGACATATAAAGACAGGAACTAACACAACATTAGACTTCTTCTTCCAAAGACTTTGGAAAACTTCAAGAGGGGACGATTACTTCACAGACTGGAATGTAAGCCCAGTTGGAACCAAGGTCTATCGGGCTTTTGAGGTGTCTAATGTTGAAAATCTCAAGTTGACTCTCTAGTTAAAAAAAGCTGGAGAGGAGAAAGGAAAATTTTTGTTCTGGAAAAGTGTTCTTCCCTGATGCAAACAGAAATCCATCTTACAAAGGAAGAAGGAGAGATGAGTTGCCCTAATTTAGTCTTTTGGAAAGAGACAAAAAGATTATGAATTCTCTAAAAAACTTTTGTTTCATCTAAACATTCCTTTAGAAGCTATGAGATGCCTTTTTTTTTGTATCTGAAAAGTTTCCAAGCCCAAAAATATTCATAAAAATTAACTTGCGACATTGAAACACACTTTTGGAAAGAAGAGCACAGTAATTTTTAAAAAGTTATATATTTAAAAAAACCCTGTAATTAGTTGGTGCTTCCATTACAGATATTTTATCCACTTTCCTTTACTATAGTGTTTCTGTTTACAGAGATAGAAACATTCAAACATTAGAAGTATTCCACACTATGCGTTATTTAAAAAGTCCCAAATTCATAAATGGAAGTAATACACTTCCTACTAATGTACCGATTAAATCATTTTCATCTTTTGTGAATCTAGCAGCAAGAGTGAAATCTAGCAGCAAGAGTG